TGCATGAACTCCAGAAATAGGTGTTTTTCTTACAATGTGTGGAAGGATCCAAATCGTTTTTTTTTTTTTTTTTTTTTTTTTTTTTTTTTTTTTTTTAAGAATTTGATTCTCTCAGCTTTGGGATAGTTGTTGCTAATTGTTCCCAAAAAGTTACTGCAAGCTCTCTGCCAATATTCATTATCTTTCCATAAGGAGGAAATTTCCTCATTAGTTAAAGGTACTATAATTTCTGCTGGGGCCCTTCCAATTAGCTGATGAAGTCTTAATTTACCTTTTATAATCAAGTCAGAGATCTTTTCTATATATGTTTTTAGTTTTTTTTTCTGTGTATGTGGTAGGACTATCCATTCTAATATGATATCTTCTCTCTGCATCAAAATCCCTGAAGGATATAATCTAGATGGTAATATAACCAGAAGACAGTCTAGGTTTGGATCCACACGGTCCACATGTGAATCTAGTATCCTCTTTTCTACCCATTCTAATTCCTTCTCAGCTTCAGCTGATAGTATTCGTGGACTATTCAAGTCCTTGTCTCCTTTTAGGGCCATTTTCAGGTTTTTCAAATCATGCCCTTCTACTCCAATAATGGTTTGCAGTTGAGAAATCTCTCCTAGTAATTTTTGAAGATCATTAAGAGTCTGGTAGCGATCTCTTCTGATCTGTACTTTTTGTGGTCTAATTTTTTGTAGACCTATTTTGTATCCTAATTAGTTGATAGACTCTCCTTTTTGTATTTTTTCAGGTGCAATTTGTAATCCCCAGTGAGGTAAAACTTCCTTTACTTTCTCAATCATTTTTTCTAATATTTCTCCTTTAGAGTCAGCTAACAATATATCATCCATGTAATGATAGATTATGGATTGTGGAAACTGTTTACGAATTAATTATAACGGATTTTGTACAAAATATTGGCACAGGGTGGTGCTATTTAGCATTACCTGTGAAAAAACCTTCCATTGATATCTCTTAACTGGTTGAGAATTATTGTAATTAGATACCGTGAAGGCAAATTTCTGTTTATCTTGCTCTTGTAATGGTATACTGAAGAAGCAATCCTTTAAATCAATAACTATAATAGGCCATTCTTTGGGTAGCAAAGAATGCAAGGGCATTCCAGGCTGTAGAGAGCCCATTGGCTGGATAACTTTATTGATGGCTCTCAGGTGTGTAAGCATTCTCCATTTACCAGATTTCTTTTTTATCACAAATACAGGAGAATTCCAAGGGCTGGTTGATTCCTCAATATATCCAGCATTTAGCTGTTCCTGAACCAGGCTTTGTAAAGCTTCTAACTTCTCAGAGGTCATAGGCCATTGTCCTACCCAGACAGGTTCCTCTGTTAGACATTTTAAAGGTAGGGCTTTGGTTCCTGTTTGTTCAGCACTTGTATTCTGTTTTTGTACCACCTGGATATTTGGTATATGTCTTGTATAGTACTTCATACTATTTTTTCCACAATCACGAGGTCGTTTATGGTTCCTATCTAATACTGGAGGAATGTTAATCTGTGTATTCCATTGCTGTAATAGATCACGTCCCCAAAAATTTATCCCTACATCAGCCACATATGGTCTCAACCTTCCTCTCTGTCCTTCTGCTCCTATACAGTCAATCAATCTCGTGCTTTGTTTTACCTGAGACAGGGTTCCAATCCCTAAGAATTGAACATTTACCTCATGCAGGGGCCATCTTCGAGGCCAAGATTTATTAGATATGATAGTTACATCCACCCCTGTGTCCAGGAGACCTTCAAACAGTCTATTATTCATCTTAACTATCAATCTAGGCCTATGACTATTTATAGCGATTTGCCAAAATATACGCTTTTTATTTCCTTCTGTCATGTTTGATTCAACTTCCATCACTAGTTTGTCATCCAGAGCAGTATGAGTTTTTATAATAGGCACAGAATTTTCTAATTGTCCTGTGGGACATTGTCTTCTACTGTGACTGGGAATGTTTGAACCACCTGTGATGTGGGGGTCTTCGAGAGGCCCCCAAGGAGTTTCCCAAAGGTAAAGGGTTTCCTTGCTTGTCTCTTGTCTATCTACACTCATTTTTCCAGTGTCTGCCTTTGCCACACCTTCTACATAACCCAGGAGGCTGAGGCCTTCTGTTTGATTCATTCCTGGGAGTGTTATTTATAGGGAAGCTTTGCCTACAATTTCTTTTTAGATGTCCTATCTTACCACAGTTATACCATCTGACATGTTGACATCTCTTCAAACCTTTGGAGATGGCTTCTTCTACCCAAGCTTCGAAGTCACCATAGTAAGGAACTCTGTTATCTTGATGTCTTCTGTGACCTTTAGATATGGCTTCTCCTACCCATGCTTCAGTCTTATTGTCATTATACTCAATGATGCCTGTATACAGGACCCATTCATCCGAGGGTGCTGATCGCATTTTTAAAGGACAAAGCACCTGCTTGCATTGAGGATTCGAATTCTCAGAAGCTAAAGATTCTATGAGTATTCGCCTAGCATCTATGTCTGCTACCTCTAATTGTACTGCCCTAGATAATCTTTCTAGAAAGACACTAAAGCGTTCTCTAGGTCCTTGCCATATCTTGGTATAGAGTTCTATCATCTCTCCTAATTTATGAACCTTATCCCAAGCATTCAAAGCTGCTGTACTGCATAGAGACAACATATGTTCATCATAGGCAGCTTGGGATTCTGGGTCAGCATAGAGACCCTCACCAAGAATTTTATCTTGGGGAGCTTTATAACCTTTCTTTTAAGCCCTGAAGTTCAAGAGGTTTTGCTTCCTCTCTCCATAAAGCCCTCCATTCTAATTGAGAGGAGTTTTCAAGGACAGCTGATATCAATTGATCCCAATCCTTAGGAGTTACCTTGTTATTCTTTGCCCAGGATTCTACTAATTGCTTCACATAAGTTGAGTGCATGCCATAAGAGACTACTGCTTCCTTTATACCTTTTAAATCTTTCACACATATTGGTTCCCACTGATATGCAACGATACATTTTGGGTGTTTTTTCGTTGCTGGTTTTTCATTAACAGATACAGGGAAAGAACCCCCCGACCCTAAATGGTGTGGAAAATTTTAAGTCTTTTTCATGCCCTGTTACCTGTAGTTCTTCTTCTGATGTATCAGAATTAAGGTCTTCTAAAGCCTGAAAACTATTCACCATTGTTTCTTTGAGTGTCTGAACTTCTTGAATAAAATAACTTTCTAGAGAAGTCATTGCATCAGTCAGTTTCTTACTTTCTCCAACTACAAAGGATTTCATGTTTTTAATCTTCTCATCCTTATATATTATCTGAATGGCATGTGAACTGCATTCCAGAAACAATGTTCTATCTGCTTGCTTGCCATTATCCTCTGGCATTGAAGAGATTCTATCATCTAGTCTTTCTATCTGATGTTCCAGTTTTTTTAAACTTATTATTAGCTTCCTCAGACCAGGAACGAGCTGTTTCTGCTAGTGTGTTAATGCATTGCATTGTTTCTGTTCTGGTTATTGAAGTATCTGACATGAAACAAATTCTACCTGTCAGCTCGCCAATGCCATCTTCAATATTCTGAACCTTTCTTTCTATATTTTCTATCCTTTGAATTGTATCATTTTCAATGTTTCGAATCCTTGTACCTAAGTCTCCTATGGTTTGTACAAGTTCCTTATTGTTTGCTGTAATCTCAAACCATTTCTTTAAGAATATCATGTTAATGATGAAACCCATTGCTATTACAAAATAAAAGTACATATTGGTCCAGTCATAAGTTTCTTCTTCTAAAATCCCTTCTACATATGAAGTAAAATAATTCCTAAAGTTCTGCATTGTAAAATTATCTGCCATAGTTATGGAACAATTGATCTCAGATTTTATATTAGCTTAAATTGCAAAGGATGTTACAATTACCTTAGGTGTAATTCTGCTGTCCTGGAACTTTGATGCTTTTAGTTGTAGATTTCAGCTTGTGGTAGTCATGCCTGGAGGTGTGCCACCAAATAGTGCCTAGCCGCCTAGGCCTGTCTGATCCCAGTTCTGCCTAGAAGTATACCGCCAAATATTGTCCGGCAGCAGACAATCCTTCTGATTCCGGTCCCTATAAAAAAGCACTTAGCAAACTATGGCAAGCAAAATTTTGTTAAAAGGAGACTTCTAGAATTGCTGGAACACAAGACTCAGGGCAGGAAAACACATAAGCAGGGCAGGTGCCGAGCGGCTCTGCGCGAATGCAAAGTCCCGTGCGGAAATGGGAAAAACATGAGAAGCGGTGAGTGCCTTATCAGGTCCACTTTGGTGGCAAAGATCTCCTTTGCCATAAGGAAGAGGCAAATGTCCCAAAGCTGTGGTGACTACACCTGGTTAAACCCTGCCTGTTGGTGTATGTGGGGGAGGGGAGCAGTGTCTGCCGCCTTGGTTTCACTCAGGTCCCGTGAAAATCCTAATCCCACTTCTGACACCAGATATCATGGTTAAATAAGGATCAGGATAAACAAATAGTCGGAATAGATGTTCATTCAGGGAGAAATAGCTTATAACCTAGACAGATGAACACCAGGAAATTCAACCCGATTCTCTCTTGTCTGAGTCACATCATCAAGAGAGCTTTTCCAGGCTCTCTCTCTGAACTCCTTCCACAGGTCACTCCTGCCCATTGCTCCACCCCCAATGGGCGTGGTCAGTGCCACAGAAGGACCATCTCACTACACACCAGTGTTGTGAAAAAGCCTTACAACATTCACTACATTCTTGCGTTTCTCACCAGTATGTGTACTTTAATGTTTTTTGAGATGATTGCATAGTGAAAAGACTTTACCACATTGATTACAATCTTGTGTTTTCTCTCCACTATGTGTTCTAATATGTCTTTTAAGCATAGTATGTCTTGCAAACACTTTACCACATTGACTACATTCATAGGTTTTCTCTACCAAGTGTTTTCTTTCACGGAGTTGGAGGAAACATTGGCATGAAAAGACTTCACCATACTGAAGACTTCTATATGGTTTCTCTCCAGTGTGAACTTTTTCAAGCCTTTGAAGATGCCTGTAACATACAAATTTATTCATACATTCATTGTGTATATTCACAGGATTCACTCCCGTATGGCTTCTTTTATTACTGCAAAGATAATTAGCATATGTAAATCTTTACCAAATGCATGATACTAAAGAAACTTAGTACATGCATAAAATAAATTTATAATTTGGCCTACGTGTAGACAAGATTAAGATATTGAAATTTACTTTCATAATGCTTCCCTCATGGGGTATTGCCTTGCTTTCAAAGAAGATACCTGTGATTCAGAGTATGAGCCTTTATTTCATGGCCCACATTTACTGCATATGTTCACATGAGATTTCTCACATAATTGAAAATAATTGGACCATCGCAGACCTTTGCCATATTTATTGCATTTATCAATTTTTCCATTGTATAAATCATAATACACTGCCCAAATATACCAGTACAAATGGAAACATTCACACATTCATATGGATTTACTGCAGTGTATTTGTTGATATTTTTCAGATGATGATGGAATACTGATAAATTTCAAACTGGTTTCACACTCAACAATTATTCTCAAAGTGATGACTAACGAATATCTTTTATTTCTTCTCAATGTCCTAAGAGAGAGATGTATGTTTCTTCTTTCCATATTCTAAATTCACATGGCTGGTAACATATATTCTTTTTTTTTTCCCTAAGTTTTCTGATACATAATGTCTCTGTGTAGACCTGGATAGCCTGGAACTCACTTTGTAGACCAGACTGATCACAAAATTTTGTGATCCACCTTCCTCTTCATCATGAATACTGAAATTAAAGCCATGGGCCACAACTACCTGACTCAACATATGATATACTTATTAAAGTAACAATATCAATAAAAAGGATTCCACATTGCATTCACACACTTTGACTTTCTTTTCCTCACAGACATGTGTTATAGGGATTAATGTTTCTCCACAACACACTTCTTGACACTCATAAAATGACCTTTTCGATATACATAGAAAATCACAAATATACAAGTAATGCCTGCTTTACTACAGACTATTTTCTTAGTAGGTCTTGGATATATACTTATGACCTATGAAACAAGTATACTGTTTCAAATATCTGAATAGTATGAAACTCAACAGACGGGCATATCTACAGCATAGAACTCCAGGCGCTACAATTCTAGGGTGTTATCTGTTAAGGAATTGTTTCCTTCTCTTTTTACATGAATGCCTTGGAAACACAGAAGAGTTACCTTTCACTGATACACATGGTTTGGGCAGAAAATAAGAACAATCACTATACTTTAAGCTGCACTTATTTTCACTGTTTAAATTTTTTATGTGTGTCTCTTCAATAAAATTTCCAGAATACATTAAAATATCGTTAGAACAAAATTTTCATAAATTTACATATGAAAATTTACCTTCTATGTCTTCTAGAAGTATGACAATGATCTTCCATATTATGGTCATCCCAAATGTAGCCTGAAATAACAGAATATATATGATGTATTATTGTAAATTGTACAAAATTTCTGTTAATAACTTCATTGACACTTTCACCAAAGTTTCCCTTTTCTCAATTAAAATTACAGAATAGTATCTGTAACCAAGAAACATTGGGTCTTATTTTAAAATATGAAGGAAAATACAGTCTCACCTGTAGTAGTGAGGTTCCTATAGGTGTCCAGCATCACAACTGTGTAGAGACATTTCTGAGAAGGATTTAGCAAAGCCCATTCTTCCTGAGTGAAGTGGATATACACATCATCATAGGTCACTGCTTACTACAATAAACCATACATGTGTGACAAAGAAGTCTAATACACTCACTGTAAATACAAACTTCTTTGACAATATAGTTATGTAAATCTGGAGCCTTGGACACTTATTTCATGCCATGGTCATTATAATGCATTCACCTAATCCATTTAGAAGAAAACTGAATAGGAGGTTAACATGCACCATTTCTTGGCCCTTTACGTAGCATATAGCCATGAGAAAAAAAAAATCCCAATAAGCAGGCATAAAGGGAGAGGCAAGCTTCCAGAACAAACTATTGAGAACACATCAGTAATAAATTGTACAATAGGGACAGCCAGTCACTGACCCAGGCTCTGGGAATGACATCTGCCTTTGTTAGATTTTCATTGCTGTTAAGAGACACCATGGACCAGGGCAACATTTTCAAAGAAAACATTTAATTGAGGTGTCACACTGAAAATTTCAGAGGTTCAGTTAATCAACATTATGGCAGGGGCCATATCAGCATGCAGACTGCTGCAGTCCTTGAGGTTAGAGTCCTTGCAGCATGACTCAGAGGCAACAGAGAGTTTCTGACACATTGGGCATCATTCTGAGAATAAGAAAACTCATGTCTCATCCTACAGTGACGTGATTCCTCTAACAGGGTAAAGCCCACTCCAACAAAGCCACACCACATCTGCTATAACTATTGGGAACTCACAGAGTATGGACTGACAGTTGGGGGACCTTAATGTCACCAAACTAGACCATCTGAATGTGGCTGACTCTTAGGTGACTTGTTCTGTTTGGCGGCCCCTGGCAGTGAAACAAGGACTCATCCCAGGAGTACATGAATAATATGAAACAATAGGTCACACTTTACTGACAGGTCCTGAGGAAGAAATGCCAGAAGATGAGAAAAGTAGGGGAGGCAGAACAAAGAAAAGATGAAAGCTTGGTCAAGGGTGTTTTGCTGAAACTATGTATTATTCTAAGTAAGCTGCTTATGAGGAATAGTGTCTTGTATACTACTTTCATGGGGGAATGGAAGTAGGGACATCTAGGAAGTCAACAGAGTTAACATTTAATGGGGCAAACTCAGGAAAATGCTACCCAAATAGTGCAGGGGGAAAACAGGGAATCCCAGTAAATTACTGACTAATCCCTCAGTGGTCAGAGACCCAATAACCACAGTTCCATGTAGTGTGAAGAGTTGTGTAATTGGGATCTGAATTAGCCCCTCTACAAAGGCATTCTCTCTCAAGCATCTTCCTTGTTTCAAGAGATGAGATCTATTTTATTCTCAATAGCTCAAAACCCGATGGAAATCACCTAAGGCTAGAAACCTGAAACTGTTATTTGCTCTGCCAAGAACTTTCCTGTGTTTCAGAAGGAACTATGTTACTTCTCCATGAGTGAGGATCTACACAAAAATTCTTGCTTGCTCAGTCCAGCCCTCAACACAATATTGTTTTCCTTTTCAAACAGTTGTCACCTGGGCTCATCTTGCCCATATGACAGAGCCAAGATTTTTCTCCAGAAGAAAATGGATGTTTATGGCACACCATGACTTAATGTTCATTGTGACCCAGTAATGAACCCTTGAACAGCGTGTAAAAGCCCTGCTACATTGAAATCAGTGATTTGTCTATTGCCATGTTTTGGAGACAAATGTATGGACTATACTGGGGAGCAAATATATATTTTAGAATCCTAATCTCTAACATGAGTGTTCATCATGAAACTAACTTTATTTATTTATTATTTATTTATTAAATTTTAGGGGCAGCACTCCCTCAGCTAAATTCTATTTTGAGAGACTAACTATCCACCCAGAATTGGTAAATCTTTATATCAACAACTCCACTCTTCCACAAAACAGCTCAATGATGGAGTGTTGTCCAAAACAAGAATGACTTTATACATGTATTTATTGGCACTTGACTATAACCTAGCACTGGGGGGGGGGCAGAGGCAGGCAGATCTCTATGAGATTGGGGATAGCCTGCACCACAGAGAAATTCTAAGTCAGGCTGCAAACTACAAGAAATTCTATTTCAAAAAATTATATACATATACACATACACATATACATATAAACATATACACCTATATGTGCATATATATATATGTACATGGATATATATATATATATATATATATATATATGTATAAAATTAAATAATATCATTTAGAGCACACTCAAAATTAACTCCCAATGTGGATACTTCCTTAGCCTAGAGACAAGGAGGAGTGCCTGGGCCAAATCTCAAATGACTTGACAGATTTTGATGATCCCTCTTGGAAGACCTCAGCCTCTCAGAGGAATGAATGGGGGATGGTATAGGGAGGTCACTGGGGGAAATAGGAGGATGGCAGGGAGAGAGAACTGGGATCTATATGTAAAGTAAGGTCTTTTTATTTATTTTTTTCACAAAAGAAGAAATGTTATTTTGATGGCAAAAAACAAAATAATAATAACTCTGAATGGATGTGACCCCTAAAGTTTAGATGTTAAAAGCAGGACTTCTGGAAGGCACTGAAGTAACCGAACCTCTCCTTCTTTGGTAAATAGCCATCCCTGCACACCAAAACCATAATGGAGCTGACTACACAGAATTTTATTCACAATGCTACTGGATCAAAATCCTTTCCTCAGAAACAGCCCACATGGAGAAGTATTCATAGGCCACAACATGGTCAGAGAAGCTGCTGACCACAATGGGCCTAACTGAACACTGAATATGGCAGCACATTCCAGTCCAGCTTCCTGCTGGAGGGCCTGCCAAACAGAATTCCATGACTCCCCATCCCACCCTCCCACATCCCGTCACTCACCGTGCTTCAGCTTCTCTGTTCATCCATGAGCTCCCCTCACAATTCCCCACAGCATCATTCATAGAGCAGCAATCAATCCTCTGATACAAAACCAAGCCTGCAGCATGGCTCAAGGAAGACTCCTTCCAGACCTCAGACTGGAGGGTTGGCTCAATGTCACTGATTGGCTAATAAGGCTTCAGTGACAAGAGCAGTTACTCAAGGGTTAGAATGTTCTTAAAGACACAGCAAGCCCTGCACCTCCTTTGGGCCTGGCTTCTACTCCAGAACTAGGAATTTTAGAGATCTGTGGGTTTTTTTTTTTTTTTTTTGAGAATTTCCCCATGTGGTGCCTGTTGTCCTAGAACTTTCTAATTAAAATGAGCTGTTCAATTATTATTATTAATCTTGTTGTTGTTGCTTTCTAGCAGATTTTTCTCATTACTTGTTTAATATTAATTAGTTATTTGATTATTTGATTAATTAATTCATTTCTTTTGATGTTTGAAACAGAGTTTCCCTATGTGGCCCTGCTATCCTGGAACTTACTCTGTAGACCAGAGTCTACTCAGAGAAATCTACTTGCCTCTACTTCCTGAGTGCTGGAATCAAAGACGACAGCCAACACTACATAGTCAGACACAGATTTCAATGTCACTTACCCATGTAACCAATAAACGATCCCACCCACTTCCTGCAGTGCACAGGTTCTATCTCTCTTTCTTCCTCCACACAATGTGCAGAGCTTGCTCAGACCATTACACAATGTAGACTGAAATGATTCTCTTATCAAACAGATGGAAGGCTTCCCAGAATATTAAAGGTATAGAGAATTTTTTTTTAGGATAAAAGTTATGTTTGCTCTGTGCCATTTTGCTGAGGTCTGGAGACCTGAGGGAACTTTTTACCTGGTTGTCACAGGCCTCTCAGATAACCATGAGAGAAAGGCAGGAGCCATATAACAAACAAGATGATATATCTTTCTCCTCACAGACGCCAGGGTTATAGGTCTATTGTATTGGAGTTTTATTCCTGATATTTGAGTCAAATTCTTGACATATGAAGAATAATAAAAAAGTGTCATCTGCATGGTAAGCTGAATACTCAAAGACAATGGTGCTGGGAAGAACGTCTCTATCTATGAGTACTATGTTGAACCAGCACAGGTTCCTCAGTAGGAAGATGAGGAAACAGCTGCATTATTCAATGTTCTCTATTTGAACAGGATTGATAGAACATATCTCTCTGTGTCTGTAGAAAGTGGGTTTATTAGAATGTCTCAAAAGCTCTGGGCCAGCTAGTACATCAATGGTGATGACGAATGGAAATTTGAAGAATTCAGTATTTGTTTGGTTTATGGGGTGTCTCAGCTGGTCTTCAGTACACATGAGTATTTCAAAGAAATGGGCTTTAAAGCTATAAATCGATAAACTCAGCAGGATCCACATGCCATTAAATTTGTGGGGTCCATAAAGGTTTTCTCCTTTTAGGTGGTGTTGTGGTATTTTGTTGTGCCAGTTGGTGGCGGCACATACCTTTAATTCCAGTGCTTGAGAGGCAGAGGCTGGTAAATCTCCATGTGTTTGATTGAGTTAGAAATATACACAGGGAAAACCTGTCTGAAAACAACACCAAACAAACAATACACAAATCTAAACAAATAAACAAACAACAACAACAACAAAAATTGCTTTAAGAAGAAAGTGTGGAGCTAGGCAGTAGTTAGCCATATAGGACAGGTCATGGTGGAGCACAACTTTAATCCAAGCATTTGGGAGACATAATGAGGTTGATCTCTGTAATTTCATGGTTACCTCAGGCTACACCAGATTGACCCAGTCTAAAAGAGAAACAGAGACAGGTAGTGGCTCATTCCTTTATCCCTGTACTTGGGAGGTAGATATGGATGGGAGGAGAGAGAA